CGGCGCGGGAGCCCGGGCGCGTTTGCGGTGCGGCATGGCCGTGGGACGGCGAGGTGTACCTGGAAACGTGCCTCAGGGCGCGCGCGGGCAGGCGTCACTTGCGGGGTTTTTTTTTTTTCTTTTTTCTTTTTTTTCGAGAAACTTGTTCTTGGAAAAATCGTGTTTGATTTCGGTTTCTATTCCAGTTTGTGATTATGCCGTGATTATTATTGACGTAGTGTTGTATGCGAAACGCTCCGTGATGGGTGCAAGGTACCCGGGCGGCAGGAGTCATACCTGCGCTCGCAGCGGCGTGGTGAAATGAGTTAGTTTCGTCCGTTAATGACTTGATAACGTTTTCCCAAATAGAAGCACGCTGGGCAGTGTGCGTACGGCTGCTTCCAGAGAAGATATGAGCAATCCTTAACTGGAAGGAGGGGGAGTAGGCGTGCGTGCAGAAGTGCCTATTCTGCCAAAAGCTTATATTCTGAAACTTGGCGATGCGGCAAAACCCCTCTTCTGAAAAGCCCAAAGGCTTTTTCAAGGAAGGCGTTAGTTTTCTACTTAGTCTTTTCCTGAAAACATGATAAATACATGGGTATTCTAGGTACAATGTGTGTAGTTCTTGTTTTGATTATATGCAAGTGTTTAATTCTGCTGAATCTGTGGCATGTTGCTCAAACTGCAACGAGCCTGGAATAAACCTAGTATTTCTGTTACGCTTAAATAAAAGGTTCAAGATCACTTTCACCCCTGAGGTGTTCTTCTGAACGTTAGCTTTATTTTTATATGCATTCCTTTACAACTTATGTGAGGTAACTAGGCTGAGCATGAAAACTATCTCTGTAAAACTGTGTTTACTTTTCAGATGGAAGAACAAATTGAATTCACTGTTTGTATTTATCAAATAATGCTGTGCTGCTTGTATTCTCACTTCAGAAGTTGCCTTGCTCTGCCCAAGTTATGATGTGTCCGCTAAATGGTAGGGATAATGCAAAAATCTTTCAAGCCATTATCTGTCTTTTGGAGACTTAAATGTTCTCTTGGGTTAAATTAAGCTGAAATCTTTTGTTTTCCCCTTCCTGAAACTTATTCAAGAGAAAATAGCAGATAGCTCTGTGTAAACATTAATACCCATTTTAGAGGAAGACACTATAGAATGGCTGTATAGAAAAGCACATGAGCTGAAATACTGTGATGATAGGGTTTACAGCATAAAATATGGCTAATTTCTCTTATATGACTACAGGTGGCAGTGTAGAAGCCAAGAACAAAAATTGGCAGAAATCCTTTTCTGTGTATGAGAAAATGAAGAGAGTGTACTCATGACTAAGCACAGGAACCTGAAAAACCACAGGTATGTGAAGTGATTCATACAGCTACCTATGGTGCTCCCAGTATTTACTGTATTTCTGACATTCCTGGCTCATAGGTATTTCTGGACCAATTATCACTTAATGTGTTCACAGTGAGATCTGAATCAAAATGTTATGGAAAAATTTGTATTTGATAACTGAAATGAACAGAAATACTCTGAAGGCAATATGTAAGGGTGTCTTCTTCCCCCCCTCCCCGCCCCCCCCTCCCCCCTTCAACCCATGGTTTATTTTAAATATAAAGAATTGAAGCATTGAGAGGTAAAATGATCAGGTTTTTTTAGTAAATAGACTTTGTATTGATAAAGCTAGCAGTATGTCCTGCATCCAGTAATAGTTGAAATGGAGAAACTTGAGGTACAGCAGAAAGTTCCTATGTCTGGATGTTTTTGATGTCTTTTTCAGTACTATTTTTGGGTTCTGAAGAATTGGAAGCATGAGGAGAATTACAGAGATGAAATTAAGAAGATGCCATTTCAAATAACTGTCTAGTTATGGAGCACATGTGACATTAAGGAAAATAAAGCTGTAAGATGGAAGCGTTTTATAACACTGATTCAAATATAAAATAAATATGTAAAAATAAGCAGTATATAATCAGAGCTCGTGATTAGCCCTTTTGTATTTCAAAGCAAAGGGAAATACACTACTTAGTGATTAATTTTTCTCATTAATTAACAGCGTTAGCTTAAGGCAAATACTTTATTGTATGCTTACTTCATTGTGCAGAGCCTACAGAAATTAGTCCATAGGCCCACATTCCAGGATTCCTGGGAAGGCATGGAGGACAGGACAGAAACTCAGAGCTAGAGCTTGAGGGTTTTTTTAGGAATTGTGTGAATGGGAAGCTTATCCTAGTAAGAAGTGTCAAAAGGCAACTGCCACTGTTTTTATTAATATATTTCTCTTTTTGCATTCCTATTCCAGTCTAAGAAGGCATTTTGTCTAAACCTTTAAATTGCTTCTTGAGGAACATAGTTAAACCACAAGTGTTCACAAATGACCAAGTTGGCTTATGTCAGCTGCCCTGCAGTAACCCAACTCGGGCACATTTTTACTTAGCCCTGGTTGGAAAGTAAAGCACATCTGCGGATAGAATGATTCATTTCAATTATGATATATGCTCTTAGCCCATTCTATTAGGTACAACGAGTCAGCTGATTATAGAATGTCGAGCACCTGCATTACTATAATCTAACAGTTTATGGGTAATCTAAGTCATTTTTTTCCCCTTCCTATTAGAAAACGTTCAGGGAATGCATTTGAGCTATAGCTTCCTGGGGTCTCAAACCCTGGAACTGTAAGCTGTCTGGATAGCAACTGTCTCTCTATTAGTGAGTAGTAAGACTCTAATCTGTGAGTGGGGCTTGCATGTGTGCTTTCATGATACGCTGTGCTTTGCGTAGAATATCCCAAGAAACTATCACAGTTTCTAAAGTGAATTTTAAAAAAATAGAAATGAGTAAGCCTAGACTTTGGGAGCTCTTCTGCCAAGAAGAGTTCTTCTAACCATCCTTGCCAGGCTATCAGGTTGTTATTCACCACCTGTTATTTCTGAGTGGGGACCTGCTTAAGTATAGCTGGGCAAGAGGAAAGAAGCGGTGATAAGCTGAATAAGGTCTGTATGGCTATGTAGCATGTCTTGTTTTTTATTTTTTTATTGCATATTGAGGAAAGCAGTTAAATATACTCAAAATTTATGTGAATAGCCCTGTTCAAATCAGTTGAACTGCTTGCATAGTTCAGGTCAGCATATGCTTATGGCTTTGAATGTTGAGTTCATTAGTTTGTGATAACATAATTAGAACAGAAAATGAAAATGCCGTGTGTCATTGGCACAAAATTTTAGTGGGGTCTTCATTACATCAAGTATTCACCAAAATATTAAATAAAAAGAAACTAGTAACTAAGCAGTGTGATACTCGAGAGTTCAATCCACAGACATTTCTCTGTGCTAATTATGAAGCATTGACATGAATGAATGAAAGTACTTGTTGAAGTGCCTTTTGCAGTGTATAACAGTTATGCGTTCACGAGACGATTCATAGCATTCAGCAATTTGTGATGAGTTTCCCTGCCATTACTGGAGATTACTAAGTATCTAATGTATTTGCACTACACTGGGTTACTTTAAATTAGATTTGATAGTGGAAAGGAGAACAATTTTCTGTCAACTGAAAATCAGGCCTGTACTACAAATCAACTATTCAGTATTAAGTTGTACTGTATAATAAAGAAGTTTCTTTTAAAATACAAATGTTTAATCATCTTGTCTATGAAGATAGCAACAGTGGTGGTGGTTGCAAAAATGATTTCTTTTGTTTCTGAAAGTTATGTGCATTATAACTAATATAGCAGATGACATAATTGAAAGTAGAATTCATAGTGAGAAATCTGAACTGGAAATCTGATTATGTAAGAACTCATTTTGAAACAGCAAGTCTTGGTTACATAAATACATCCTGCATCAAATTAAGTGGTATTCTAAGTATTGTCCTCATTAAAAGTACAACAGAGGCTGTATCTTGGCTGAAAACTGTCCTGAGATTCCATTTTGATGTGTTCTGTTGTCCTAAGATAACCGCGTTTAAGGGTGCATACAACTGGTTGTTTTGCACTCTCCTGAAGAGGAATGTAATCTTTTAGACTATACCTGTTGGACAATCCTACTTTATCAAAATGTATATTATCTGTAAATGACATGTTTTACACAGGAAAAATAAACTTTCTCTCTTTAGTAGTTGTATAGGTTTGTCTTGAAAATGTTTGGGAACCTGGAAAGTGTATTAAGTCCATGGGTTAGTAATGCTGACCAGGGGATAGAATGCCCTCCCTCTCCCTCCCTCCCTCCCCCAAAAGACACAATCTAGTCAGGAGCGAAGGGTGGATGGGTTTTTATTTCCTCCCCACCTTTAAACAAAAGAAAACAAATAGGAATGGGGGGAGGGGGAGGAAAATATGTCTGAGGCCATTTAGTTTACACTCTCACTTCCCAGGCTAGTGAGGCTGATATCAGGTCACCAGTCAACAACAGTAGTGCTTTCTTATTAATCTCAACATCATTAATACAGTTGTTAAACCAAGGGGGTAGTTACACCATTGGATGATGCCTATTGTAGATTTCTATGGCTGAAGTGAGCTCGCTCTTAGGAAGAAGTGAGAGTACATCCTGTTAGCCACAACACTAAACATAAGGAAGGTATCCTGAATCAGCAAACATGTAAAGTAAAGCTCCAAGTGCATGCTCCCACTGCTTTCTCTAGGCTGGCTGCTGCTGGGCAATGGTAAGGATGCCCTGCTGTAGGAGGGCATCAGACTTGTAAAGGAGTAATGATCCTGAAATCCTATGCTGTAGGTAAGACCTTAATTTTGGGTGATGGCCAAGTATACTCTTGCTCTAAAAATACTTGTGCATGGTGTTGACTGCAGATGGCAGGAGGTGTATCCAGTCATGAGGAGAAAACTTATTTCAGTTGGGTGCCACTAACTGGATATATGATGCTAAAAGGAGCACACCACCTTCAAAGGTGGTTGACAACAAAAGAAGTTTAGACAATCTCTTAGTGCTGGCAGAGAGGTGCTGGTAACAGAGGAGAGCTAGAAGAAGAGAGCGGGAAGCAAAACTGGAGTGGCTAAACAGAAGGTTAAAAATCAAGACCTCTGTGGCAGCATTCTGCACAGTCATCCCAGAACTCTGCATGGGAACAGGCAGAAGGCTAGGGTATGCAAGTCAAGATGACAGAGCTTCTGAGACTGAAGTTGACAAAGCTTAAGTAAAAAAGAGCTATCTGAACAAATTAAGCCCCATCTAGACTGTAGCACAGAAGCCTATGTAGACCAAATTAAGAAATGCAGCTATATAAATGCTAGAAGGCTAAAAGATAAGACGGAGGATACTGGCATACCTGATTCTAAAGTGTGACAGTGTAGGTCTATCGGAGAGAGGGTATTTAGTGGGACACTCATTGGGGGGGGAGGGGGGGGGGCCTATGAAATGAAGCTTGGTAGAAGGAACAGCCAAAAGATTAAAATGCTTCCAGCCAGTGTGGAGATCGGATACTGGTTACAGTTTGGAACAAATGCATGCCACCTAACTGCTTTTCCAACTCTTTTAAAAAAAATTAAAAAAAAACAACAAAGTTTGTTTTTATGCAGTAGGGTAGAGTAGGTTGTAAGGAGCAGAAAGATATCTAATGACTAAGAACTAAAAGTGCTTGAAGAAGATTGCACTGTACCTGAAAGGCTGAGTTATCCACATCCATACTCACTGTGTAGGAGTACAAAGATCACAAACTGAAACTTTGCTCTGTGGGGAGAGAAGCAGAAAGGTCCCATTGGGGAATCTGTTTCAAATCAAAGTACTTCTAAGACAAGTTTTAGAACAAGTTGATAAAATGAATTATGACAAATTCCCAGGTCAAGAAACTCTAGAGGAACTCAAGGTGTAAAACTGCTGACCATATAAATGGTGTTTAACCTCTCAATGTTATTTTGGCACTAGAGAAATCAAGGGTGGCAAATGTGATACCAGTTTTTAAGAAGGCTTTCAAGAAGCTTACAAGAAAGAAGAGGCCAGGTATAAATGGCATTCACACTGGACAATTTGTTGGCCACTGTAACATAGAGTAGAACTAGTGGATTGATGGACAAATTTGACATAATGGGCAAGAGTCAGCACTGCCATAAGAGAACTGCCTTATAGAGCTCTTGGAGTTCTTTGAAGTTCTTTGTTGAGGCTGTGATTAAGTGTGATCTAGTATGCTTGAATTTCAAAAAGTCTTTTGAGAACTAGTCACCAAAAACGCTTCGCAAAATGATACTGGTATGACATAAGAGGAAAACTTGCTCGTGGACTAACAAGATGGGATAAGAGTAAATGATCTGTTTTCACAATGGGGCTGGAGATCACCAGTAGGGTTTCACATGGATCTGTGCTAGGGCCTTTAGCACTGCTCAGTATAAGCATCTGTGATCTTGGAAAAGTGAGTGCAGGGTGGTTCTAAGTTATTTAGAGTAGCAAAAATAAAAGCCAATTATGAAGAGCCAAAGGGGGCTCTTATGATACTTAGCAACTGGGAATAAAGCAGTAGATGAAATTTGATGCTGATTAATATTAAAGTAATGCATGCAGGAGAGAACAATCCTATTATTGTGTCACTGAGTCTGTAAACTAACTACTGTCACTCAAATAAGAGATGTTGGATTTACTGTGGCAAGTTCTCTATAGGCGTCAATTAAATGTCAGGACTGGTCAAAAAAAAAAAGCAATATTGGGTGTTATTAGGAAAGAAGAGCCAACAGAACAGAAACCTGTTATGTCAATATATAAACTGCTTATGCTTGTATCTTGACCTTTGGGTGCAGTTCTGATACTTTTTTTTTTTAATAAGGGTATCAGTAGAGCTAGAAATGGTAGGGAGAAGGGTGACAGTGATGGTAAAGAGTAATTAAATAGGTTAGGAATCTTCAGTGTGGCAAAGAAACAGCTGAAGGTGAATATGATAAAAAATCTATAGCCAAGATTGCGATGGAGAAGATGAATAGGGAATGATCATTAACCTATCTCTTGTTGAACAAGACCCGGAGGGTATCAAATAAAATTACCAAGTGGCAGATTCAGAACAAGTAAATATGTGTGGTTTGTGATGGTGTGGGGTATTTTTTATTATTTAATTTGTTTTTAACATAGTGCATGGTTAAGCTGTGAACCACTGTGCATGCTAAAAGATCATCTAGGTTCAAAAATCCTTTAGAAGAATTCCTGGCGAAGTTCATAAAGGGTTTTCTGTGCAAAAGCACCACGTTTTGCTTAGAGGAACACAAGCCACCGTCTCTGTCGAAAGCAGGGGAGAGATCTTGAGGTGCAGCTCTGCATGCTTTCCCTGTTCTAATGTTCTTCCCCAGGCCTCTGATCTCAGCCTTTGCTACAGACAAAATATGGGGGCTACATTCAGTCTTTGGCCTGACTGAATAAGGCCGTTCTTAAGTAAAATGAAGACAAATTATAGTCCCCTGAAGAAAATGCTGACCTTATGCCAATCCTGATGCAGAATAGACTTATTAGTGGGAAAAAAGTGTTTAAGAAGGACATTTTTCTGCCTCTAATGACTTCTCGAGGGAAAAAAAGTGGTTTTCTATTAACTGTGCTAGTCGTCTTTATACCACATTGATAAGTTTGGTGCCTACATGAGGGACTTGATATTCTTTTCTTTATGTTCTGATGTGTCTATATGCAGCTTTTGTTCTGTGCTTTCTCATGGCTTGCTGGCCACTTTGTATTCTTTGTAGACTTTTTTCAGATGGACTGAATTAAAACTCTAATTGCAAAAATAAAACTCACCCTGAAGAAGTTTGAGACAGGCTTACATATATAAATAAAATGCAAAATGGAGATTTTTGAATCATGAACAGGAGAGAGAAAATCTCTATAAAGTTTTCTATAAACTTGGTGAGATTATACCTAGGTTCTTTCATTATCCAGACATACACAGGCTGAAGTTACATTATTTAGAGTTGGACTGAGCAAGGACTTGGAGAAAATAGGTTATTAAGAATAAAGGATGACTTGATTGTTAGACATGAAAATAATATTTAAATATTGAAAAGATGTAAAAGTTATGGAGCAAGAATTAGAGTAATCCAACCCAAGTAACAAATGAAATTAAGGAAAAATAGTATAATGCAGTTAGGAAGAGAAATGTCTGAGTGGTAAGGGCTATGAACTTATGTAAATACAGCCAGCAGTCCGTTACAGAACCAGAATGATTAGAATACGATAATCTGTAAGGAGTTACAGGGACAGAGGTTGGAGTATACCCAAGGTTAACTCTTTCTGAAGAAAATTAGTCGCCTTGGGCTCCTGGGGCCAGTAAAAACAAAACGGCTCCTCCAGTGGGTGACATAGGGCCCCCAGAGCTGGTTCCTGCTCTGAATCGCCCTCTACAGGAGTCTCTTCGGCCGCATTGGCTAAAGATTGATGCTGCAGCCAAAGACGACCATCCCCTGCCAGGTTAAAGTTGGCTTTTGTGAATATGCCCATTCTAAATGTTAGCATGAGACCTGATCTTATTAAATATTTTAGCAGGCCACTTGATTCCTGTGGTACTAGGATAAAAATACATAGAGAGACAATACCAGCTAAATACATTTTTCAGAGTTTTCATAGGGAAGTGGATATTTCATATGTGAACAATTATAAATGAAAAGGTAAATTACTCATATAGTAAGAGATCCTATGGAATTTTTTTTTAATTGCAAAATTGAGGGAGTACAGCCTGTTTGAAACGAGGTTAATTACGTATTCCAGCACTCATCCCGTTACTCTTTGTTGCTTCACAAAAACGGGAGAAGGATCAGTCCTTTTTTTAGGTTAGCTATTTTGATGATCCCCTTGAGTGCTCTCTAGAGTTTTGCTATTTGTTTAACAGTAACAAAACTTTCTTCTGTCAAATTTTAAATTTTCACTTTCTATAACAAGATATGCCAAAGAAAAACAATATATTGCTTTTCTTGTTTTTTATTTCATAATTTATGTATTAAGGCAGTGCTGCTGCACCGCTGGCAGTCTGACATTAAAGGAGATTTTTGTTAGCACAGATGGCAGTAGATTTCCATTTTTTTTTCTTTTTTTCTGAACTAATATGGAACCAGACACTACAGAACTTCACTAGTACTACACTTGGGGGTTAGACTTTCACATCTATTTAAAACCATACTTTAAACCATAAATCATAATTTTTA